TTATCTCTATTTTTAACAAAAAGTACTGGAGCTACTTTAATATTTCTAAAAAATACTTTTAAATAATCTAGCCAATCATTAAATTCTTTTCTACAAGTTGATTTATCAGGAACATGACTATTTTCCATCGAGACTCTTCTCGCTTCATCATGAAGTGGAGCTCGATGAGGCCTAATCAGTTTTTTGGAACTGGTTCAGAAAATTTAATTTTGTTTGCTAAAGGTTCGCTGGTGTCTACTTTTTTATTTTTGCAGTCACATGTGTGAATAGTCACTCCATGCCTACAACAATTGAAACAAATTGGACCAGGAATGCTTAAACATTTTTTGTAAGTGTGTCCAAAATTTTTACATTTTAAACAAATTAATTTTTTATCAGTTTTGGAATCTACAAAATGAACTTTAGGAGAAGATGCACGCGAAACAGATTGAACAGAAGAGCTATCCGAAACAAGTTCTTTAATTTCTTTATCTAATCTAAAAATTTGGTCAATAGAACTAATGTTCCTGCCAACAAAATATACGGCGTGAGAACGCAACATATTACGCCTAATAATTTTAATTAAGGTTTGTTCCGAAAGTGGATCCGAAAGACGCAAAGACATATCCTGCAACTCGATGATAAAATCTGACAAAGTTTCAGTAGGTTTTTGTTTACGAGAACGCAAAAGATATTCAAGCCGATCATCATAATCAGGTTTGTCAAAATGTTTAAGTAATGCAACCTTAAGGGTATACCAAGAATTAAGATTTGAACGAACAATACGAAACCATGTCCTAGCAATGCCAGTTAAAAAATCTGAAAAGGAAGTAACAACAAAATATTCATCGATATCTCTGGAAACCATATACTCTTCAACACTAGTAATAAATTCTCTAACACAAGACTTACCGTCAAAAATTATCTTACTCTTCGAAAGATCAGGACGTTTGTAATATGTAGGTTTTTTAAAGTTATCCAAAAGTGAAGTATTATTTTGTAACAAATTAGTGCTAACATGTGAAGCAAGGTCGTCGGTTGTAAAGCAGGTTGTGAATCAAGCAATCGTGATGAATGAAAATTATGATCATCCAAAGTGGGTTGATCAATCGTTAAATTAATTAATTCATGTGCAATGTGCTGTGTAGCAGGTGGATAAGCTAAATCACTAGTATCAGTTGCAACAGAAACAGGTTGCTCCTTAGGCGGCAAGGCAGCAGCTAATGCAAGTTTGTCACCTTCCATTTTTGCAAAATGCCAAAATAGCAGTGAAATTATAAACGCAGTTAACGCAAAGTAAATTTAAAGTTAAATCTTTTAAAAGATAAAGCAAGATGCAGCAAGTTTACAATTGGTGAAAGATATTTAAATCTTAAGTTAAGTTATGTAACCGAATTGAATTATTTAAAAATTATTAATATAAAAACATATTATCCTTAACTGAAATAAGTTTGTGACAAAATGTCAAAATATCTAAGTTACAACAACATCAAAAGTTATTTTACAATATTATTATGACTAAGTTTATTATTATTATTATATAAACAATGCTTCATTAAGTTATGAAAATATTTCAGAATATTTAGTTATATTTTTTCAAAGAATGTTAAATTATTTTAAGTTTATGTTATATTTATAAAAGTTAAACTTTATTGTTTATGTTTTATTTAAACAATGTATATACTAGCTCAAAACAAGTTGTGGAACAGTTATATTTATCATTAAGAAACTTGTATAAATTTCAAATAATGTTCACAAAACATTTTAAAAATTATCAAAACGTTCGAACAAAAAGTCATAATTTTTTATATATATATAGCAAAAAGCTTTGTAAATTTGCATATTCAAATGTAAATAACAAAACAATAACACAATGATCATAGTTAACAAGGTAATAAAAGTTTAAGTTATATGCATCAATTGGTAGAAACCAAATAATTGTTTACGAGTTAAGTAAATTCTAAGGAATTTGCATGTGCAAAATACTAAATTAACATACAAAAGTAGTAAATATCATGTGATGCATCACTACAGACGTATATAGAACATTTCAAATGTGAAATAAAGTTCAAAACAAGTAGTTAAATGAAAAGTTAATATTAACACGAACCATCCAAAACATTAAGTTAAATTGTAATAATATTACAGACAAAATCTATGTTTATGTATCAAAATTCAAGTACAAAAGCTACATTATATCACAAATGTAATAATAAAGATTACAAACAACCAGACAAGACTACTATTATAGGTACAAAATGAGATGGATTGCATAAACCAAGTCCCTGTGCGCTGGCGTCAATTGTAATATTAAAAAATAAAAAGTTTGAGAGAAATTTACTAAACGGATAGGTCGAAATTAATGAAAAAAAAGAATACTCGGGCGCCAGACCCATACCATATTATTAAACCATATTAGCCGGGAAAGCAATGAACTTTTAATCGCAAGAGGAGTTTAATGCAAATCCATTCTCATTTTGGGTTGTCTATATATTAAAATTTAGTACAAAACTACTGGACCGAAAGAATTACTGCTAAATTTTGAAACTAAGACTAAACTAAGACTGTAAGTGAAAATGTTACCTTTTATATGGGGGCCGAAACACAATTATAAATTTGAATATTACTGACTTTGTTGCATCTTTGTAGTTAAATTATGTCTGGTTTCACAAGTATGTAGGGGATGGCCGTTTTTAGGTCCCGTGGGTTCACCTCCACCTCACGGGAAACATCGTGATTTGAATTCGATTTCCAAATAAAATTTCAAATATATAAAAAAAAACGCTTTTAGCTGAAAATAAATATTCCTCAGATTAGCACATGGCTCACAACAAAGGAAAATAAGTAAAACTAAGGAAAACTCTAAGATTCTTACCGTTTTTCAATTAAATTAAGCTTGGAATAAGATCGGCTCCATTCCGCGCAAACAGTGTGAAATATCACGTCTGTAAAAAAAACAATCCTTATGTAAATTATTGAAATATATGAATTAAAACACTTTTCGAATTTGGAAAAACACTTACCATCAAAAACAATTGAAAATCCAATGGATTATCATGATAAAAAATAAGATTATGATTTTCACATGTTTCTTGTAAAAATTTTGGTCGTGAAGTGAAGTGACAGTTCTTTTCTTAGTTTGTCTTGGCGGTAGGCAAAGAGAACAATGTCCATTCAGCCTACTGCTCGATAAAGGCAGAAACACAGTTACCCAAAAGTGCACAGATTAAAGAAAATGGGCGCGAGATAAAAAACGACCAGAGAGACAACCAAAAAAAATCTTCTATCTCGCTCTTCGAGCGAAGGAGATCCATGTGACGTTTTTAACACGTTACACTATAAAACACAAGTGCTTAACAATGCCCAATTATGGCTTGACGTGCTACCTCATAATTTCAAGTAATTTCAAGACAACCTGGCGCTGTTACAATTATAAAGGACATCGACGAAATCGGCCCTAGCATGCCCAAAAGAATGTCCTTCACTATTATTTTTTTTAACTTATTAGCAATTAATCATAGTAAACGGACAATCTGTTTAAAAAAATAAAAGTTCTGTTACTAGATAATACATCTACAGTCAGTACATACATACAGTCTGTTCATCCAACTTGTCCTATTTGGTAAACAATCTTGGCACTCCTTTTTATTGAAAATACAGCATTAAAAGTCAACTGATAACTGGATTCAATAGGTTTCAGTCTATAATAACGATTTATTTTAATAGTTTGATGAAGATTGTTTACTCATTTTTAAATATGGAGTGGACGCTTAAAGAAGACCGTGTTGCAGTTATTGCGTTGCATCGTTGCGGTTACGCGCCAATTCAATTTTTTGACATAATGAAAAATTTGAATATAACCAAAAGATTCGTTTATCGTACCATCAAACGATACAATGAAGACTCTAGTGTAGATGACAGGTCAAGAAGTGGTCGCCCTCGGTCTGTTAGGACTGCAGCAGTGATAAAAGCGATGAAGGCGCGAATTCAAAGAAATCCCAAACGTAAGCAGAAACTGTTGGCCCTACAGATGGGGTTAAGCAGAACCACGGTGAAAAGGGTGTTAAATGAAGACTTAGGGCTTCGGGCATATCGAAGAAAAACGACATCGTTTGAATGCTCGTCTAATGGACCTGCGACTGAAGAGATGCCGCGCTTTGTTGAAGCGGTACGCGGGAAAAAATATCGGGAAATTCTTTTTACGGATGAAAAAATTTTTACCGTAGAAGAGAGAACAAACAAAATGATAAGGTATTCCACGTGTCCAACGAGGTCATTTTCCATCTTCGCTCATGTTATGGTTGGGGGTTTCTTATTGGAGCTTAACAGAGGTACATTTTTGTGAGAAAGGTGTAAAAACGAATGCAGTTGTGTATCAAAATACAGTCCTGACGAACCTTGTGGAACCCGTTTCTCATACCATGTTCAATAACAGGCACTGGGTATTCCAACAAGATTCGGCGCCAGCTCATAGAGCGAAGAGCACACAAGACTGGCTGGCGGCGCGTGAAATCGACTTCATCCGGCACGAAGAGCCGGCCGTTAGATTACAAGATATGGCAACACTTGGAGGAAAAGGCGTGCTCAAAGCCTCATCCCAATTTGGAGTCACTCAAGACATCCTTGATTAAGGCAGCCGCCGATATTGACATGGACCTCGTTCGTGCTGCGATAGACGACTGGCCGCGCAGATTGAAGGCCTGTATTCAAAATTACGGGGGTCATTTTGAACAAACTTTATTGCCATAAGAATCTATGTTTTGTTAAGTTCATTTTGGTATATAAATGGTTACATAATGAATAAACTTGTTTCAATTATTTTATATTAAACATGTGACAGAATTTATGACCTGACTAGGTATGTACCTATACCATGATATACTATGACACATGAATAAGGGATTACTACTTTTTACATGTAAATCGCTTCTGCACTTTATCGTGAAGTGGTTACAGATAGACAAGCACATTTTCGCCTTAATAATGTTAGGTATGAATGGATATATATCGTTAATAAATACCTGCTGCCTCTGGCAGACCGTCATTGGTGACATCATATTGCCGGCCGTGTCACTCCAGTGGTGTGAGCAACAGTACGCTAAGCAGTACAGCGCAGATCTATTGAATAACTCTTGTTTATTCGCAAACTTCTGCCATTCTGAGAATTTGAAAAGGAAATATAGTTTTTTTTTACCCGACTGCGCAGTGCAAGAGCGCGAAAACATAATATATATGTATGTTTGTTCCTTTGTGGCACATTAGAGAAACGCCTGGACCGATTTTGATGATTCATACATCAATCGATTCGTCTCAATCATGGGAGTGCTACAAAAGATATGATAGTAATCAAAATTTAATATGGGCAAAATTAGGCGCCATATTGTGACGAAGTAAAAAAAATAAGTTGACAAAATATGTCGAGTGGGGTATCACTGTCTAGATAATCGAAAATCATGTTGAGGTTCCTAACACCATTTTTCATTTTATATGATTGTTTAGGATCTACAAAGCTTTAAAGTTGTAAAGTTACTCTTTCACCTAAAAATACTGAATAGATTTTAATGAAACTTAACAGTAATATAGCTCATATATGATACTAACATATATATAAATATTTATGTTGTGAATGAATTGGCCAAAATATAAAATTGGTGTCACATAAGACGGAAAAAATCCTCCAATCTGCGAGCCATTTTGGCCTGCACTGCAAAAACAATAAATGCTACATGAATAGCGGTGGCTTAAATAAGCGCGCTTAAAATATTAAGCTTGTAAGCACGCTTTTAAGTATAAGCTTTATAAGCTTATCACTTAAAAAGTGTGAGTAAGTTTTTCACTTAAAAAAGTGCAAGTATATTTTTTACTTAAAAAGTGCAAATCCCGCCATCTATGTCTTTGCCAGGAAACTACATACTTCGATCCTTCTAGTCCACTACAGTATCGTAAAATGGGTACGCGGAATTCCTTGGTACTAAATATTTCACAATATCACAGACATAGAACGCGCGACTACAGCGCCGCGTCGGCGTGCCATCTTTCGTGAGCCGGTTAATACAGAATGCGAATTATTATAATGCGACGTAAAAAAATGCACTTTTTTAAAATTTGGTCGGATAACCAACGCTTTTTCGTTAAAAGCGTTTAATTAAACGAAGTCGAAAAGCAGTACGCTTGTCACTGTGACGGGGTAAGAGCGCGTGGGTGTTGTGCGGTGTGTTTGCATGCTTGCTTGACGTGTTAATGCGTTTCGTGTATTGGTTTAATGTGCATATAAAATAGTTAAAAGTATGTATATAAAATCAATAAACTTTTAAGTACGCCTGGATCACGAGTATATTAACTCCAGACAGTCCTAAGCTTGTAAACTAAGAAGGAAAGTTCATTGACTATTATAAAAATGTTTATTATAAAATCTAAATTCAATTGAAAATCTTTCGTTTTTAATGCCAATCAATTCATTAGGTTTAAAAAAAAATTTTAATAAAAATTTCATTAATAAGAAGAAAAAACGCAATAAAACACTTAAACACATTAAAAACGACAATAAACTTTTCACGCTTTTTTAAACGATATACCTAAACGAAAACACAACACAACGTCGCGCTTTTTACGCATGCTTTTAAACGTTTAAGCCAATAAGCGTTTAAACGAAACGACAATAAACTTTCACGCTTTTTTAAACGATATACCTAAACGAAAACACAACACAACGTCGCGCTTTTTACGCATGCTTTTAAACGTTTAAGCCAATAAGCGTTTAAACGAAAAAGCTTTTTTTCAAGCGCGCTTATTTTAAAAAGTACAACGCTTAAACGCTTTTAAGAAATAAGCCGTTTTTTCCATCTCTATACATGAATGTAATATAGAGTGAAAATGTATCTCTTAAATAGTTCTAAAAAAAAGTCCGTGACACCATATATCCATTTTTAATGTGTAAGCCATTACCGCTAAAACAGTGAATCAAAACTTAAATATTATTTGATATCTATTTCCAAAATGTACATTTTGTATTAACAAATTATTGAGTAAGTGGTAGTTTACTATAAAATTTACATACATTAGATATTTATGTAACGACTTGATTTAACTGCACATATTTTTGCGAAAATTGAGGCCCATCTGTAGCCTTGACCCTGCTGGTAAAGTCTCTTTATGTCTTAATAAATCAATCTTTTAGACCACCTCAAGGTACTTAATAATTCCCGCGATATTAATTCCCTTACTGAAGTAACAATACTACGGTATATACTGTCTTAAAATACTAACTAACTAAAAAGTGTGAAATTAAAAAGGAAAATTTTATAGACTGGACTTGTTTTTTTCTTTTCAGTTTTTATTTGAAGTATAATTAAGCAGTCGGGTTTTTTGATTTTTTAAATTTACCTTTTTTTTATAAACAGGTCCGAGAAATGGATACCACCGCAGCAGAGAGACTTTTTGGGATACTTAGATCTTTTTTGCAATTAAGAACTTTATATAATAAATGAGCAAATATAATTAAACTTTTGCTAACGTCGACACTACTGCAATCTAGTGAAGAATAACAATTCATTGGTATACGTATACCCCGGGTAACTTCTTGAGCAACAACCATAGACAAGGAAGCCTGCTCAGTATCAATTTTAAATACAAAAAAATCTACTGCATAAGTTTGTCTGTGGTTTTGTTCAAGAAGTTTGTACGAACCTATAATGCACGACAGTTTTCCTACTCGCATAGCATTATCGGCGCTTATTAGTGCGTTGTTGGCATCCCGTATTACTAACCCGCTCAACTTTTAGTGACTTCACTTGATTTGTTAAAGCAAAACCCATCCTAGAGATGCCCATCCTAGAGTGCCCATCAGTGTCATACAGTTTTAACATTAAAGTCAGCATGAATAATTTTCAACTGGACGGTTGGTCGGGCCCTCTAGGACAAATACGCTACGACTATGAGTAGACGTGTGGACTCCAATTGAGGGTGTTTATAGAAATTTACGTCACTAGTTGGCACCACTTTGGCATGAGGTATTTTTTATGAAGTTTTTGACGCGAACTAATCGCGAAAAAATAGATACATAGACTATGACGACACACACAATTTGACAGATGAGTAGACCTTTCGTCTTAGTGCTGCCACCTGGCGCCCGTCATTCCATAAAACCATGTATGAAAACCGAGCGTTTCATATTTTGAGCGTACTCATAAGAAAAATGTGTGATTAAAAAGCATAGTAACTTGTTTCGATTCTCTAATTTTACAGTACCCCTAGCACGAATCATTATCGAATTCGAATAGTTTTTTTTAGAACAGGCATTTTTGAATATACAGCGATTGACACCCGGCATCGACGTCACGGCGGAGAAATAAAATTAGTATAGGAAGTGCTTTATCTCCCTTTTGACATGATTTAGAAAGACGAAATATGAGAGATTCTTTAATTTGGGATAATTTTAAATGAAATGTGGTTTAAACATTGGCATTGCAATAAGGTCAAAATCTCCGAAGGAATATTGCCTTAAAACATCAAGTTAAAATCTTTTTGATTTTATTGACATTTCTGAATGTTAACCTCCTTTCCAAGCGTATCATTTCGTTTTTTCATTGAATTTTTTTCATTGTGATCATTATGTTAGTGCCGAACAAGGAAATCATATGAATATAAAAGAAAGAAAATGACAATATTTACATATTGTATCTATTATGTAAACCTTATCAACATTTTCACTTTATTCGTTTTATTATATAAATTATTTTTTATAAATGATACCAATGAAAATTATCAGAAAGAACAGTGAGCAAGTTAAATAGTAAGTGATTGATTGGAAATTACGCTTCTCGGCTGTACGTTTTCCCGGTTGGCGCGTACTTAAACTGCGCTGATGTCTCACCTGACATAATTTACACGTTGTTATAGCAACGTATTCGGTCAAAAATTTTATCTCATGATGTCTGTTTGCTGTCGGATATTCAACCTTAGGTGGATCTTAAATTAAAGAAAGTGACTGTAAGTACATGCACTTGCGTTATCTACCTTTTTCTATCAACAATGCGACAAGGATCTTTATGCATGTGTTCAGTTCAGAGACAGTTCAGAGAGGGCGCCACTGTCTGACGTAAATGACATGACGTTTAAAAAGACGACGGCGTTAGTTTTAATTTTCACCACATTCATAAAGATCCTAGTCGCACTATATGTGTTAGTGGTCAACCTAATAGTTTGACGTAATCGGCGACCATCTTGGCGTGATGAGTGTCCCCGCCGGGCTGGTTGAGGTGATTCGCCATCAGGTTGGTCAGCTTACGCAGCAAGCCGTCCACGTTGCTGCCCTGACTCTTTACGCAATGTTGGAATTGATACATCTGCGATAAAAAAATGGCGGTTGCACTCCGGGCGTGCCGACAGAAGACTCATATCTCAAAACTAAAAAAAAACTTAGCACTATGCATAATCAAAAATAAATATATAAAACTAACCAACACACTACAACAACTAAAGAAGAAAACCAACCATTTCGGTTTTAAAGTAAATTTGGCAAGGTTATATATATTAAGCTTTCTTTCTTATTATGACCAATTAGAAAATGAAAAGATAAATCATGTTCAATTCTGTTATTATGTGCACTTTTTTACCAAAAAAATATTAAAAAAAAATAACTCACCGCTGCTTCTGGACTTCTACCTAGCATTCTGAAATAGAAAATACTATAATGAACATCGTTTTGTGCCAAGAGCACCAGCACACAGCAGCATCAGAGCATCAGCACCTACCATGCTACTTATATCTTAACATAGGTATAACAACACACTTTTTGCTCAAATTGGATTGATGGTCTAGGGAAGTTACCTCCACCTTACAGAAGATGACAGTGGGTAACACTACCTTTTGTTAGTGCTGTGTTTTGTTTGTGATTTAGGTTACACACACACCACAATGTAAAAGATTGGGGTTTAGTGTAGTAAAGGTAAGGGTGGCTGGAATAGCAAACTTCCCTGTCACACTTATTCTTAACATCAATAGGGTATTTCAAAATACAGGGACACCCAAAGTGAGTTTGGATTTGATTTCAAACCCCCCTTGCGTTTAGCGGTCCAATGCCCTTCCATGATGCTATAGAGGTAGGTCTGTTGCCTGAGCTTATTTACTTGACATCTTACATAATTTAAATTCTTTTAAACTTTTGTTTTTTGTAGGTTTCAATATTTTCCCCATTTAACTTTTTTATATGACAGCACTCACTAACTGCTCATATTAGAAAGTATGCATTAAAATGCAAGATTTTGACATAGTTGACCCGCCCACATTAACATTCTATTTTTATTTTAATTATGTGCAGATAATACTTACGTTAATAGATCTGTCAATTCAGTTATTTTGCCTTCATTTTGTAAGAAACTGATGTAGTGGTTTAATGCCACCGTTCGAGATGAAAGCAACTCATAAACCAGCTTTTTATTTAATGTTTGTATTAGAAATAGTACCACCTGAAATACAGATTTTTCTATTTTCATGACTATATAAGTATTATTAAATGCTTGAAAAAACTTATGACTTATGAGATAGTTCAAAATTTATAATCAAACAAATATTAAGTAAACTGTCTAAAATATCAAACTATCATTATTTAAAAGAAATGCTTATCGAATTTAAACACTAGAGAGTATACTAGCCGTAAGTATAGCGTTGCCATCCCCAATTGCAATTGCTCCATCCAACAGTTCTGTTTTGCACTTTAAACTTCTGTGAACATGTAACGAACATCTTCTACCAAGCACGAGTCTTTTCAATGTAACTGCAACCGTCTGCTCACTATCAACTTTGACTTCTTTTGTCAGATCTTTACCTGATTGTGCTAGCAGTACTGGAAACAAGTATTTATACAAAAAGTAAAAAAGCATGAAATAATATAAAAAATTAGAGGTAATAGATGTAATAAAGGTTTCACTTTAAAAAAATATTATTGTGTTACTACCACATAAATTCTTACATAAAAAAATATAATAGGGACTTGCATTCAAAATATACAATACTTACTCAAATTCAATACTTTTGGTGATATTAAACTGTGTAAAGGTAGCAAAGTTTTGGTACTACTAACACTAGCACTAGCAAATATATTGTCATCCTTATGCCCTGATGATGGCTTCTGACCAATGGCAAGAATCTCTTGTGGAGAAAGCTGCAAAATAAATAAATCATTATTCTGTCTGTAAAATTATTAATTTTTATTATAAGATGTGATATTCCAATATGACATACTATTCAGTTTATATAATAGGTAATCATAATAATGTGTGTTTATTTATATGTATAGTGTTACACTACCAGTTTAATGTTAATTTTGCTTAAATGAAGATTGTCAAATATTTTCCTGCTTGAATGTTACAAAATGGAATTCAGGTCTATCAAACCCTAATAGTTCACACTCACAGTGTTTAATTGATCGAGCAAACACGTACATTAAAACCCGTTCCGATTCAACCAAGTGATCTGTTCAACCAAGAAGACAGTGGCTGCATTTAGTAAATTTCGCAATTTGAGGATTGAGGACAAATACATACGCTCATAGTTCGAGTCGAGCTCAACGATTCAGTTCGAGTATGTGCGAAGGAAATTAAGTTAATTTAATTCCATCAAGTCGACTCGATGCGAGCCTACGAGTTGTGAGATTCGGAGTCCACACGTTGAATTTAACTCGCCATAAAGTAAAACAATAAAATAATGCCGTATGCGAGTACGGACCATTAGACATAATTATATAATAAGTGAAGAATTATTTTATTTGTTAAATTAGTATTCAAATCAAAATATACTCACAACATCATCATCAAAACTGAATGCCTGCGATTTAGTTTCACTAGAATTCCAATAATCATCCTCGTCCATATTAGATACGTAGTCAAATTTTTTAGATAAGTATTTAATTCATTTAGGTTTGAAATTGGGATTATCAATCAACACGAGACGACTGCGAGCCCAAAATACATGGAAAATCAAATTATTTGTGAATTTTAAAGGTACTTGTTGTGTTGTTAGTATATTTACGTCAATGTTTTTTTTTTTTTTTGTTGAAGTTCTCCCGTTTTAGGGAAGGCAAAGGGAACAATGCCCATACAGCCTAGTCTTTAATTAAATTAATCTTCTTTTTGTTTTTACATTAGAATGTCGGTGTGACGCATTCTAATGTTTCTTGGAGTGTTTGGCACGAAATGTATCGAGTTGGCCCTTTCGATAAGCTTCTGTGAGGTAGTCAACACTACAATAAAATTCTCACGTCCACTTGACCGGAATGGCGTATATTTTAACTATTCCACTAATTCTTCAGTTACGCAGACGGTTGTTACATAAAACCACAACATTTTTATTTCACAATATCCACTATGAACGAATTTACGAATAATTAAAATAAGACGCCAACCGCACTCGATGAAATCCCGCCAAAAAAAACTTTTAATAGTTTAACGGCCTTGGATGAAATCCATACAGCCAATTCTTCATTATTATGAGTTCATTTCATATTTATCTTTGTTATTCAAGGGTATCTTTTTTCTTTTATAAGTGCACAAACGTAGCGGAAATGAAGTCATATAAAATTTTATATGTTTCAAAATTCTTGAGAATAGATGGCAAGAGGCGGGGAATGTCATCATCTTTAAATATCTTCAGTAGGCCATCTACTAAAATAATTCTTGATATGTTGAAGGCGGGACAATGTAAAATAAGGTGATCTAGTGTAGCTTCATCATTTTCGCAATATTCACAAGTTCCTGAAGATTTTAAGTTTAATCTGTGTAATTGTGCACCGAATCTCCCGTGACCTAATCTGAGCCTGTTAATAGTAGTTATGAATCTTCTATTTGAAGATTGAAGACTGAAGTACCAGGGCTTTACTGGAATCTTTTCTTGGATACTTGCGTACCACTTTCCCTTGAATTGTTTGGTAAATTCCCAATCTTCATGCCAATGTTTGTACATGCGATGCTTCAGAACTGAATGGTAATCCGTCATTGGAACAGGTGGAATTGCATATTGTGGATTAATGTAGGCAGGAGTTGGAATTTTCATTAATCTGTCAACAGTTTCGTTCCCTGTTATCCCGTTATGGGATGGCACCCATAAGAACTCAATTTGTTTTTCAGGATTATCGTAAATGTACTGTCTTATTTTATTAATAAATATATTATTCTTATAGGATCTATGAATATTTTCTAGGCAACTTAAAACACTTAATGAGTCGGTCACTATTAAAATATTGATGTCAGCTAAAGCAATAGCATACTGTAAAGCTGCACATATAGCATATGCTACCGCAGTAAAGATCGTTTAAAGTGAAACGACGCCCAAATTTTGACAAAGAGTCGTAATATGCTGCTTTTGTACTGTTTTCCGTTTTAGATCCATCTGTATATATCCGTCGGTATTCTTTTTTCTCAGTATTAACAAAATATAAAAAGTCACTATTATTTGATATTCTCTCAGAAAGAATGCAAGGTGTAGTAAGTTGTACTTCTAATGAGCCTAAATCCCATTTGCCTTTATGGTCTATACATTCACAAATATTATTTAATTCAAAAATATAATCATTTTGCAATAGTCTACTGTGTTTATATAAATTTGAGTATTCTTTGGACGCTAAAGCTTTAACATAAAACTTTTCAGTAAGGTAACGTAGTCTAACAAGAATGGGCGGTATACCAGCCTCTATTTCAAGCGAATTTATAGGAGTTGAGCACATTGCTCCAGTAATAAATCTTAATCCCTTATTTTGGGTTACTTCTATTTTCTTAAATAAAGGTTGGCTTAAAAATTTCCCGTAAATTATTAAACCATAATCGTAATGGCTTCTAACAATGGATTTAAAAATCATGTTCAGTAATTTGGGGTCCATGCCCCAATCAACACTCGCGAGACATCTCATTATATTTATGCTTTTTTGCATTTTTTGTACAGTATTTACAACATGAGACTTAAAATGCATTTTAGAATCAAATATTACACCTAAAAATCTTTTTTCATTTTCTAATTTGATATTTACAGAGTCATATACAATAAAACTAGTTTTTACGGGTTAATGCACGAAACTTTATTTATTTATTGAGTGATGTGCGTGAAAACCTAAGAAACAAATATCATATACAATATTTATATTAACATCGTTATAATCTATCTTATTACTAAAAATCAAAGAAGAACTTTTATGTGGGTTAATATCTAAGTGGAGCATATCTTTATAAAAAGAACAAAGCGAATCTAGTCCTTCGTTTAATGAATTTACACCTTGTGTTAAATTTTTATTTTTTGTATAAATTACAATATCATCTGCATATTGAAGAACTGATAATTTTTTTAAATGCACATATTTATGTAACAATGACGTATCACTGGACAGTCCGTGGCCACCAAAGTGGCCATGAGCACGCACCCCTCAACAGTCCGTGGCCACTTTGGTGGCCACGTTCGAATTTCCGCGCGGCCTGCTCTTTTTCTACAGACTATAACGAATACTGGTATTTATGGACCTCAAGCCAGCTGCGCACAGTATCTTTATGATATTTGTAACGTACTGGTATCACCGGAACACCCTAGTCTGCTTTGGAAAAAATTAAAAAAAATAAAACTGACACAATATTTTCTTTCGTAAATTGTGATCAAGTAAAGTGATAACGTGCTGCTTTTAGTGTTGAAATATGCCGTAAGTACCTTTTTATCTTTGTTATATTATATATCCAGATATTTGTGATAATACAGGCTTTCATATTTTCAAAAGATTATCACGAGCAAAATGATCTGAAAATTATAAAAATAACCTGAAGATTTGTTGATAGAAAAAAATAAACATTCGGCGGATTTCAATGGCGTTTAATTAATAGTTAAATACTAAATTGTTATTGATTATTGATAAATTACGTCGTGTAATTAATTAAAAAACTTATTTCAATAGTTAAAATCAAGTAAACATGTAAGTTAGCACTAGATTCATGTATTTTGTGACGGATAATAAATACATTAAAAGGTGAGAAAGAATATTTACGTCAATGTCAAATGTCAATGACAAATTGTGTTTTTTTATTCAAGTTCTCCTATTCTGGGAAGGCAAGGAGAACAATGCCCATACAGCCTCATTTGTTTTATATATATATATATATATATATATACAGTTTGTCTATAAAATCGCGACATGAATGTTTGAGGAACTAACATTATTCATGTGTCTGGCAACACCAAACTTATGTACATCAGCTGTCATCGAGTTGAGTTGTGCAACAGTTTTCCTTTTGTATTTTTTATTGTTTTGATTAAACTGTACTAAATTAAGACGAAACTATGTAGAAAGGTATAAAAATGAGTAAAGTACGGAGTGGCACGCGGGAAGTAATTTTTAAAGTTTTCCAGCGATGTTTCGAAGACTTCCAAGCTGGACGAATTTTGTGGGATTTGGATGATGTTTATGGGCGAATAGTTTACATTGCACATTTTTAGGTTAGATTGACATTGGTGTCGATTCTGGCATGATTTTCTAAACCTAAACTTAAATTTGACAACAGTGTATCCTTGTCATTCTCTATACAGTATGAAAAGGAGAGACTGATATTAAATTTAGCTTTAAGTTTAGAGAATCACGCCAGAATCGACTCCATTGTAAAAAATGGGTGCGTGTACTTATGTAGGCGCGTGAGAAGTTATCCTTCTTTGGCATCGTTTAAAATTAGTTTTTAATTGCATGCAAATAATTAATTACAATAAATTAATAAAAAGTCTGGAAAAGTCAATAAAGTTCAGTTTTAATTTGAAAAAATAAATAAATAATCGAAATATTCAATTGAAATCGCTACTGAATATAATTTATTAGAACATATGTGATTTGCACTTGTATGAAACTCAAACACGTATTCCGAATATACAAACTAGAAACATGTGGATAAATATTATAAATATGAATACCTATAACTGTTACTTTATTACAAAAAATAAAGATGTGGTTTTTGGTTCTACTACACCAATGGTCAAGAGATGGCGCTGTAGTCTCCTGAATCGCGCTTTGGTTCCGTTGTTCCAGATAAATAAATAAATTTGATATTATAAATATGAATACCTATAACTGTTACTTTATTACAAAAAATAAAGATGTGATTTTTGGTTCTACTACACCAATGGTCAAGAGATGGCGCTGTAGTCTCCTGAATCGCGCTTTGGTTCCGTTGTTCCAGATTAATAAATACTTTTGATAGGCCTTCACAATGCAGTCGTTAGCACCCACTAAATAGAGATTCTATTTCTATTTTGTTAGTAGATTTTCTTAATGTGCGGTAAACACAAAAGTAACGCATGAAGTGCTGTTAAAATTTTGTGTTACAGTGATGCGCGCGCATCTTAAAATTTCACTCTCATCATTTTTTCATAACGCGCCTAAAGAAGTATAACTTCAATAGGTAATATTTTAGTACGACCATTTCTTTTGATACGTTATTATGGTTCAACTCGGTCAGGTTTTCTACCAATTTTGAATTAATTGCTTCATGTCATGTTCATAAGTTATTGTTTCTGTCCCGTTACATATTTTTTTGCTTTTTTTCAGGAAAATCAGAGAGTCGGATAGTCAACGAAGGTTTTAAGAATGATGGAAGTTTGAAACTCCTGGGAAAACAGGCAAGGCCGACCAAAGAAAGAAATGGTCACATAAAGAACCATGGCCAGATGCTTTTAGTGAAAATACCTATCACTAATTTTACTAACTGCACATTTACAAATTATTTCTTTAAATAAACTTTTTATATACTATAAAATGGTTTTCAGTATTAATTTCCTAACAAGTGTGTTAAAAAACGTCGTATGATGATACTTGTGTGTATTGATGATTACCTAACGGCCCTGGTCACAATGGCACCTCAGCGGTAATCACCAACATTACACACTTTTACATTATTAAGTACTATTTTATCTATAATATTTTTATTCTGATTCAATTAAATATGCTTGTCTAAACTTTTTATAAGCATAGGTACCTACTATACAGAGCGTCCCACGGCTACCTCACACGGA